TCCAGGCCTGGAAATGGCTGCTGCGCTCCCCATCCTCCCAGGTTTTGGCAGGTGGCCTCGGTGCTCTTTTGATGAGCTGCCTCCCACCTTGACCCTTCTATTTGCAAGATGCTCCCTGGAGTGGGGAATAAGATTTTACTGGGGTTCCTTGGTGCAGCCCTCAGCCCCATGCCCCTCCCGGCTAAGCCTTGTCTCACCTGTTTGAAGGGTGGCGCCTCTCACCCCTGCCATGAGGGCCTGACCTTTTCTTTCCCGGGGCCTCCTGCACTGGTTACATAGGCACCCACCGCCGGTACAGGTGTGGGTCCTTTTCATCGCCTGCTTCTCCCTCCGGGCAGGCCCCAATCTTCATGCCACCCCTTGACCCCAGCAGGGCCTGATCCCCAGCATGCACCCCGGGCCCTCGGAGCAGCAGGCTGCCCCAGGCCACGTTAGCAGGTACTTCTGGGTGGGGAAGGTCAGGGGCTGCCCAGTCCCAGACACCCCCTTGAAGTTCCCAGAGAGCAGAGAGACACCTGCCAAGGGGCTTCCAAGGGGCATCCCCGGCGAGTTCCCAAGTGACACCCCATTGATCTGCACTCGCTCTTCTTACGGGCACATCTGGGAGCTTTGGGGGGACGTGTAGCCACCCTGGCTGACCCTCATTAGGGGATCACGAGGGTTTGGCCGGAGTCTAGCTGGGGGGGGGGGCATTCCCATTTAGGTGAGAACTAAGCCTTGGAGGCCCATTCCTCCGGCCCCCAGCCCCTGGCTCAGAGGAAGCCCAGGATAACTGAGCTCGGCCGCGGCTAGTCAGGGCGAGCCCGAGCAAACCCCGGGTTTGTAAGCACAGAGCTGACAATTGGACAAGCCTGGTTCTTGTCAGTTTTAAAAATAGCAGTGTGGGAACCCCTCGCAGGCTCCCTGGGGACATAAATGGATTGGTGCGCAGTGAGAAGGCCTGGCTGGGAGGCATCAGTAACAAATGATTAAACCATTTTTCCTGCTGCCTTTTCCCACAAGTGGTTCACAGGTTTCTCCCTCTGAGGAGCACTTTGTTACAGGGCACCCTTCCCTATAGCCCGACGCTTTTCCCTCTTCCCGTAGTTTCCTGCTACTCCTCTTTCAGCAGGCCTGTCCCAGGGCCCGTTTTCTCCCCCTTCCAAGGTACATGCCTCCGGAAAGCTTCCCTCGCCCGCTGGATGTCTTTGGAATTTGTGGTGGAGCCTGGAGGAGAGCCCCACTGCTTCTCCAGAAAGTGTCCTTTAGAAATAATCAGTCTGGTGAGATTCCTCATATCTCTCCCTACCCCGAATCCCTCCCTGGGGTGGGGGAGATATGCTTTGGCCAGCCTCAATTGGGAAGAAACATTGAATGGATGTAAGTGCTGTGGATAAAGTGTCTTTAACAAATTTTACCCCGACTTGGTCCTGTTAATGCCTAGATTTTCCATCTCCGACCAAGAGGGGCGGGGCAGGGGTGCTGTCCCCATTCCTGCTGGGAAACTGAATTAGCAACCCTTCCCCAAATGGGAGAAAGGAGGTGTGATGGGAATGATTACAGAGGAGAAATACGACGCCAGCCCCACTGAATTGTGCCTAATTGTAGACACGCTCTTAGCACGTCACCATTCTTAGGTTGTATGAATGAAAACTGATGTCTGTGGACTCGGGTGGCCTGGAAGGTCACTTGTCACCGGGTGGCGTGGGATTTGATGCTGACGGTGTGGCCGTGAGGAGGCTGGGCTCCTGCAGCCCCCCGGCCCCCCTCCCGCACCTGGGCTCTGGGACTGACTTGAAGATCGCTCAGGTGCTAAAGTGATAATAGTCATCACAGTATATCCATCTCCAGTTCCCTTGTGCTGTTGTGGGTATAAACCGGGAACACCGCTTCGAGGAAAATATATTAAAGAAAATAATTGACACAGTGACGGCTTCACTCTGGGTGGGAGGCACCTTCCCGCCTCCTCCAGCAGTGCCCGGAGAGGGCCCAGCCCAGGCTTATGGAGTTGGTGGTGCTGCCAGCTGCGGAGCTGGGGGCAGTGGGCACTGGAGGGTATCCTAGGGGCAGCTGAAGAAAGGCCTAGAGGATGGGGTGGCTTGGATTTCGGCTCAGTGGTTACTAGAATGTAAACGGGATGAACATTTTTTGTGCCGACCCTTCTGAACGCTACCAAAGAGGGTGGTTAGGGGGCCCGGCCAACCCACTCCCCAGGCCTGAGTGAGGGGCTCCCTGGGGTGGGGGTGGGGGTCCCCTGGAACCCCCTGCTGGGTGATCCCGGGACCTCCTTCCTCGCCCCAGGGATGCAGCCATGGCGGGGTCCTCGGCTCTTAGGCATTTCTGATTGAGCTGTCGCGGAGAAGGTGATTTGTCCTGGAAACGAGGCCTTATCTTCCAGGATAGCTGGCCGTCCTCCACGAGCTGTCCTGGGATGCGTGGTCCGCGGGACCGAGCTGCCTGGTGTTGCTTCCGGAAAGGGTGCGGGCTGTCTGAGAACATTCCGGCTGTGGCCAGCTTTCTGGAGCAGACAGCTGCAGTGGCTCACTCCCCCCCTCCTTTTTTAAACTAAGGTAAATGGGCTCTCAGTGCGGTGGGGAGGGCCTGGGGCGGGGGAGAGAGCCGCAAACCTGCTGACCTGGGTGCACTGGGGCGGGGCTCTCCCGCCAGCTGCTCTCCGGAGCCTAGTGAGCTCAGCTGTCAGAAGTCACCTGGCTCTGACACATGCAGCCCTTTGGGCGAATGGAGCCTCACTTAACGACACCTTCAGCTTCAGCGTCATCGACATCCTCCTCAGCTGTCGGTCCGGCTGCGTCTCAGAACGTCTGCTGAAAGCGGAAAAAAGCCATCCTTGTGAGTGGCCGGCCTGTAACTCCGGAACCTGTAGTGCCTGGAAGCCTGCGGGCCTGGAGGGATCCTCCCGTGGTCTCCCGGCGGAAGCGGGTCTCTGTCCATCCTGCGGCCGGACCCGTGCCAGGGCCACATGGGCGCAGCGTGCTGGACTCACGCTGGTGGGGAGCGGTGGCACAGCGGCCACTTTAACAGAGAATAAAGGCAGTGGGACCAGACAGGTCGCAAAACTGCTTCTTAAAATAGGAAACAGAGCGGCAGCGGTACTGATCCCCGCCGCGACAGCTCGGGAGAGAGTGTCAGGAGTGCAGTTGAACTGGTTAGTGTAGGCGACGTGAGGTCTCCCCCCCGGGGAGGAGAAAGGAGATGGGCCCGAGGGTGCCGTTTTCTCTCCTTAAATGACTACCCTTATTTGAAATGTTGCTTGATGCAGCCCTTTCCTCTTTCAGATGTCCCTCGGGACCGGGCACAGCGCTGGGGTCTGCCTGCATGTCACCCTGGAACCCAGCAAGCACTGTGGCTGTAGCCGGCGCTGGCCGGCCTGGGCCAGGCACCTGAACCCATTCTTCAGCCCGGCCCGGGGACCCCCACGGGGGCTCTTGTGGACATCGTGTTTTCCATTCATTGGATCTTTGACCAGAGTGCTAAGAGAGCACACGTCATGCTGAGCTCAGTTTTGTCCTATAGTCATGTCATGATTCACTCCTGATACCTGTCGCACTCTTTCCTGACGCCAGGGGGATTCTTTTGCTCCTTGAGCCTGTTCAGAGCCAAAGTCTTGATCCCTTTGCCCCCTGCCTGCCCCACTCCTGCTGATTCCATAAATGGGGAGCCACCCAGTGATTCCCAGTAGATGTCTAGGGTCATCCTTGCTACCTCCCTCTTCTCCACGTCCAGTCGGTCACCAGGCCTTAATGATTCTCCCTGGAAAATGGGCCCTGCACCCACCAGCTTCCTCTCTCTGCACTTCTGGTAGCCAGGGCCCCGGTGACCACCCTGAGTGCCTCGTGGCCGCTCCGCCCCTGCTGCTTCCAGCCTGGGGCTCTGGTGTAGGAATGGGACTGAGAGCTTACGAGCCCTCGCTGCTGCCCTCTGCCCACCTGAGTCAGGGACCCCCTTTATTAAACATCCCCAGGTCCCTGTACTTCCCCCTCAGAGAACTTGGATTTTCAACTACACTTCTTTTTTTAGGGGTGATTTTCCACCTTCTCCCCTACAAGGTAAATACCCTGAAGGCGCAAGGAAGGGGTCTCTTTCGTCCTCAGTTCCAGCATGTAGAGGGTGCTCAGTAAATACTTGTTAATAAATGAATTTTAATTGGATGCAGATTAAAATTAAAGTAATTCCTGGGAGTACTTAGGTGGGTAATTCCAGACTGTAGTGGTTTATTTAAAAAAATTCTTTTTGGCCACACGGCATGGGCATGAGGGATCCTAGCTCCTCAAGCAGGAATCGAACCGGCACCCCCTGCAGTGGAAGTGCGGAGTCTTAACCACTGGACCTCCAGGGAAATCCCTTTAGTGGTTTATTTTAAATTTGGCTGAAAATGCGTGAGCTCTGTTCCAGTGGTTGTCAGGCTTAACTCTTGGCCTTTGGGGCTGGGTAAGAAGTCTTTGCCCGGGGGGCTGTCCTGTGTGCTGCAAGGTGCAGGGTGGCGCTCCTGGCCTCTACCCGCTGGATGCCAGCGGCGGTGCCCGATGTCCCCCGGAGGCAAAGTCCCCCCAGGGGAGAACCACCGGTCTGCACCCAGGGATCCTCTCCCTGAGACACCCGCCTTGGCCAGCGCTCACCTGGGGGAGGGCGGAGGGGCGGGAACTCCCCTCCCATATGCAGGGGCTGGACGCGCGGGCAGGGGTGCTGTGGTCCTGTCCAGCTGAGCCCACCGCAGGCAGAGCTGGGTGCTGCAGACCTTGGTAAACAGTGCGGCGTGGTTCCTCCTTGCAGGTGGCCTCCTCCCTGGGAAGTGTTTTCATACCTGTAAAGGAGGCCTGGGAGTGAGCTGCGGTCTCAGAGAGGAGGTCAGATCAGTAGGAAGCAGCCTCATTTCCGTGGTAGTTTCTGACTCTCCAGCAGGCTGGGAAGCAGGCGCAGGCGCACTGGGGCGGGCAGGTGCACCCAAGCTCCAGAAGAGCCCCCGTGGTGGGAACGGAGCCGTCCTGGGTCATGGGCCGGGGGGCTTGTGTGGGAATCTGCATTCTCTGGCAGGGGGTTGGGGGTCCCTGAGGCCGCCCCGGCTGCTTCCTGCCTCAGTTCCCAGCTCCCATAGGCTGTGTGGTTCAAGACTCTTCCTTCAGGAGCTTCCTAGAAAGCAGGTTCCTGGCACCCACCTAGAGCCTGTTCTCCAGGAGCGGAGCCCGGGAGTCTGCGTTTCAGCCATCTCCCCGGGTGCTTTCTACGGTGGCCATGTTTGAGAACAGGCCAGGCCTTGTCCTTGTGGGATTTGGCCTCTTCTCCTGAATGCACTCTGAGACTTTGACCCATCACGCTGACACCGACGAAGGCCCTGGATACTAGTCTGTAAAGGCTGCACCAGGAAGTGACCTTAGACCGGGGGGTTGGCAGACTTTCCGTGAAGGGCAGAGAGTAGACCTTTGAGGCTCTGCAGGCCACGGGGCCTGCGTTGCAGCTGCGCATCTCTGCCGCGAGTGCGGAGACAGCCTCCGCCCCGCTGGACGTGCATGGGTGAGACTGCCATGCAGTCAGTTTCTTTACAGAACAGGGGCTGGCTGTGGACAGCAGCTTGGTAGTCGCCCAAAAGGTTAAACACTGAAGCAGTACGTGACCAGGCAACTCTCCGCCTCGGCGCGTATCCAAAGGAGTTGAAAGCAGGGACTTGAACACCGGTGTGTATAAATGTACAGCATTAGTCACAGTAACCGGAAGGTGAAAACGACCCAAGGGTCTTGTCCATCAGCAGAGGAGCAGATAAACACAATGCGTATGTTCATACAATGGAATAATGTTCAGCCATAAGAGGAGTGACGTTTTGGTTTGTGCTACAGCGTGGATGGACCTGGACAACATATGACGCGTGAAATAAGCCAGTTACTAAAGGACGGGTGTTACACGATCCCACGTATGTGAGATCCCTAGAGCAGGCAGATTCATAGACGGAAAGTGGAAGAGAGGGTGGGAGCGGGGCCTGGAAGGAGGGGTTCCTGTTGAGTGCGTCCAGAGTTTTTGTTGGGATGAAGACGAAGTTTTGGGTGGAGTGCGTGGTCTTGGTTGCACAACGTCGTGAACGGATGTGATGCCCGTGAATTGCACACTTGTGGATGGTTACAGCGACAGACAGTATGTTACGTACATTTTACTGCAGTTTAAATAATGGTTTTAAAAAGAAGGTGGCTCTTGGGCAGCGGTCTGCAGACCCTGCTTTAGACCAGGCTCCGTTAATTGCAGTGTGGGGTTAGGGTTTAGGAATGATGGGGCCAGCCAGAGTGATGGGCTTCACAAAGAAGGGGACTGGGCTCTTTGGATGGATAATTCGTTAAAGCTTTTGGTCAAACCTAAACGTCCCTTCCGTCATCCCAAGAGAAGGGATTGTGAGTGTCGGCCTCGTCATCTGAAGCTCGGAGCCTGCATTGGCTCAGTGCTACCTGAGGGTTTTCAGGTAATGATTGCAGTCTCTCTCCTCCCTGCTTACAACAACCCCACGACGCGTAGATGCGTTTGAATAACCATGGACTGAAGACATGGGAAGGCCTAGAATTTAATATGTGACATTACAGTGAGCTCTGTGTGTGTGTGTGTGTGTGTGCGCGCGCACGCACACATACGTGCACTTGTACACATATGTACGTGCATTTTAGTAATTTTCTCAGCCCTGTGGAGCTGCTTATCTCCTGGCCACAGTGCCTGTGGCCAGGTGACCACTGTGCACACGTTCCTCACGTCTTTGAACTTTTCCAGGGAGCGCATGGAACTTCTGGAGGAAGCCAAGAAGATGGAGATGGCCAAGTTCCGTTACATCCTGCCCGTGTACGGCATCTGCCAGGAGCCCGTGGGCCTGGTCATGGAGTACATGGAGACAGGCTCCCTGGAGAAGCTGCTGGCCTCCGAGCCGCTGCCCTGGGACCTGCGCTTCCGCATTATCCACGAGACGGCCGTGGGCATGAACTTCCTGCACTGCATGGCCCCGCCTCTCCTCCACCTGGACCTCAAGCCCGCCAACATCCTGCTGGACGCCCACTACCACGTCAAGGTAAGGACGTGAGGGGACCAGGTGGCCGGAGTGATGGATGCCCTGGGTGGGGAGCTGCGGGGCTGGAACCTCAGGGCCAGCGAGAGGGCCGAAGAGGAGGTGGTTCCCTTGCGGGAAAGAACTCAAAGCAGAGGCCTCTCTCAGCATCAGGATCCCCAGTCTTGCCATGTGTGGCTGGTATAAACGCCACAGATGTGTAACTGGAAAATGGACTCTTATGAACAAGGGTCACTCCCCCAAGTCCTGGATCAGGACTCTAGGTTCTGGGCACCCCGGAAAAAGAGGCTGTGGATTTGTGGATTCCGGTCTCACTGGCCCTCTTACACAATCAGATTGGGAAGCGGACCTCGGCTCGGCCGTCTCCGTGTGGGGCTGGGTCAGCCTGTTTCCCCTTGGTGGCTCCCAGGCTCAGGGTGATGGGAGTCTCGGGGTGCTCGGAACTGGGGGCTGTGGCGTGCTGTGGAGAGGGGCCCTGGAGGGACTCATTCTGTTCTCTTCCTTCAACGCCTGTGAGTTCTGATTTTTTTTTTTTTTGCGGTACGCGGGCCTCTCACTGTTGTGGCCTCTCCCGTTGCCGAGCATAGGCTCCGGACGCGCAGGCTCAGCGGCCATGGCTCACGGGCCCAGCCGCTCCGCGGTATGTGGGATCTTCCCGGACCGGGGCACGAACCCGTGTCCCCTGCATCGGCAGGCGGACTCTCTACCACTGCGCCACCAGGGAAGCCCTGATCTTTTTTTTTTGATAAGTTTATAAAGCAGAAAAGCACGAGGGATAATATAACTAAAATCGGGTGCCGTCCCCTTGGAATTGGCCCTTGTTAGTGTGGTAGGTTTGTGTTTCTTTGAAGATGTCTCTCCCTTGGAGGGCCATCGTGTCGCACCGTGGGGGGCACTAGCCGTGGCTTTCCCACTCAGTGACATGGGTTCTAGGCTCGCCCACCTGCTGAGGTCACCTTGTCCCTCAGGAGGGCGGGTCAGGAAGGGCCACACGCCGTGGCCGGGGTCCCCTCCGGCTCCTCAGCGCCGTGGAAGGAGGGCTGGGCCCGGGGGTACGCACACAGCCACACCCCTGCACCCCGACTCTGCAGCAGGCGCAGAACTCTGGCTGAGCCAGCCTGTGGCCGGTGGGGGAATCAGTTTCCACGTACACTTAACGACAAGGTGTCCTTAGGCCGTGTCCTTCGAGAATGAGATTTTATCAGAAGCTGGAAGTACCCTCCCGCTAAAGTGAAGCGGGGAATTGAGGGAACAAACAACAAGTGGGTGGTTCCCAGCCTTCCTGAGTTCTAGCATCCCTGCAGTCCTGTTTCCTTCTGGTTGGGGTGCTGGCTTCACATATGGACTCTGTCCCCGACGAGCATTGCAGAGTTGTGACGACCAGCGTGGGGTCCGTGGGCACCAAGTCAGAGTGAAACCTTTGATCTCAAACTTGAATGAGCACAAGCAAGGGGAGGTGAGGATGGGTCCCCACTGTGCGCAAAGGCCCTGTCTCTGGGAGCTGCCCCGTCTGCCAGGGGAGGTTTCGAGTGGACGGTGGCTCCTGCTAAGCCGAGGCTCAGAGGGGTTAAATCGAGGGCCAGTGTTGTCCAGCTGTATGTGGTTGAGCAGAGGTTAGAACCTGGTTCTGCGGCCCTGGAGCCCTTGGTCTCCCACCCGCCCCACTGCCGTACATGAGATGCTCACAGACATCACGGGTGGCACGCAGTGGCGCACGAGGGCAGAGGGGGTAGCGGGCGGTAGGTGTCCAGACAGCCCCTGGGGGTGCAGTGGGAGAGGAGTCCCTGGAACTCCAGCTCGGGTGAGGGTGTCACTGGATGGGACTGGTCTTCGGAGAGGACCAGTCAGGAGTGGGGGCACCTGCAGAAGGGCCTTTCGGAGGAGGAAGCAACCCAAGAAAAGTCACGGCAAGTTCTGGGTTTTTAGGGGCAGTAGAAGCAGGAGGCATAGTTGGATTAGGGTACAGGGTGTGGGGAGGCCTTCCACTCGTCTTTAAGGATGCTGAGATGCCATTGTAATAGAACGTGCCTTTCTTAGGGAGACCCCACTGATTGCACCCCATCCCTTTGAGCGGTCTTTTCAGAGTCACGGAGTGCAGTTGGCCCAACTGGGCCTGTATCTCAGCTCACTCCCTTCCCACCATCCGGGCCGCTCTCCTAGCAGCCATGTGGGATGTTTGGGGCAGGAGGCCCGCCCTTTGAGGACCACGGTGACGTCCTCCTTGGCAGCACAGCCCTCGCGCGCTCTGTCCCTGGCAGGTGGGGTGGTGGCCCTGTTGCTGGGGGACTCCTCGCCTGGCCTGTGGGCGTGCTCGGCGAGGGCTGGTGCTCTGGGTGCCGGGAGTGGCCAGCACATAGTCTCCTCCTGTCCTGTCCATGCTGGGATGCAGACCTGCGTCCAGGGATGGTCCCCGGTGCTGGGTACACAGTAGGACCTAACGCCCGCCCAGTAGGGCGCTGAGTGCCGCTCGCTGGCACTCGGGGCTGATGTCCTTGTGGTCGTTTCTGCGTTGGCTCCCAGGGCTCCTTGCTTTGAGCGCTTTCTTCCTCCTCCGCTTGTCAACCCCGGGCTTGGCAGGCCTGGCACTTCGTGGCAGTTTTAGGAAGTGGGTGAACATTCCTTAAAGGACCAAGGGGCTTGTTAATAAGGACCTGGGGTGGCTGGGAGCAGTCTCCACTGACAGGAAGGGAGGGGACACTGCAGCTCCGAGGAGGTGGCCAGGCCACCAGCCCCTCTTTCCCAAAGGTGGGGAATGCACTTCTGTGACTCCTTTTTTTTTTTAATAAATAAATAAATTTACTGATTGATGGATTGATGGCTGCGCTGGGTCTTCGTTGCTGCTGCACACGGGCTTTCTCTAGTTGTGGCGAGCGGGGGCTACTCTTCGTTGCGGTGTGTGGGCTTCTCATTGTGGTGGCTTCTTTTGATGCAGAGCACGGGCTCTAGGCACGTGGGCTCAGTAGTTGTGGCTCGCGGGCTCTAGAGTGCAGGCTCAGTGGCTGTGGTGCACGGGCTTAGCTGTTCGGCGGCATGTGGGATCTTCCCGGACCAGGGCTCGAACCCGTGTCCCCTGCGTTGCCAGGCAGATTCCTAACCACTGCGCCACCAGGGAAGCCCTGTGACTCCTTACCCAGGTGGGCAGTCACCCTGCACAGCCCCAAACAGGCAGAAAATATATTCACAGGATGCGTTTTTTTCATCCTCAGGAACAACTCAGCGGGAGCCTCATCTGAGGTTCTAAGTCGGCCGCTCGATTTCTGGGCAGTTTTTAGTTGATGGTTATTTTTGGCAATACAACTTTAATCTGGAATCTTGAAATAAGATCCTAAGTTGTCACTCCATCCCCTTCCCTTGGTCCCTGGAGGCTACATTTTTTTGTCCATACGTAGGATGACTGGAACTGAAAATTTCACAGCAACCACCTGTTTTTGGAAAGTGTATTCAAGACACTTTAATATTAAGTTAATATGTGAGGTTAATATTAAGTATGCTAAATATCACTACTAAAATATTAATTTTAGTGACAGTAGTAAACGCATTTCAAGTTGATAATGGAATAACTTGATTTAAAATCTCAAGCTATACTTGGGGCCCACTTTGCCCAGACCAGGCTGTATTCAGAGGGCTGGATACCCAGGGTCCTGTTCTCTGTGGTCCAGAATGGCCTTTCACTCCAAGGTGGCACGGCCCTGACCCGGCCCTTTGTTAGTCTCTGTTAGTCTCATCCAGCTGGGCCCGGCAGGGGAAGGGCCATGTCTTGGGGGCCCCTGTGAGCACTGGCTCTGGGCAGTACCGAGGCGGACGCTAAGTGCGGGTTCGTTTGTAAATTATAGGGCGCTTGCTGTTCTCAGGGATTGCCACACTGTCCTGCTGTCTGGGAACCCGGGGACAGACGAGGCAGGCCCTCCCTGGGCAGGACAGGTGAGAAAGAGCAGGTGGAGAAATCCTGTGGGCCGGAGGGTCGGTGGCCATCAGAGAATTCTCATTTCTGAGCTTGCCTTTTGATGCCGGAGGTTTTACGTAGAATTTAGGCTTATTTTCTTTTCGTCAAGTGTGTATCTTGAAGCAGCTGGCTGTACCTGAAAACAGCAGAAATAAGAAGAAAAGGCTGCCAACATGGGGGTTGGGCACCAGGTGCCAGGATCCCTGCATCCCCGTCTGTCCTCAGTCCTGAATCTGACACATCCACACTGCTGGGAGTTTGGTACTGAAACGTTCCCGCTCGTCCACCTGCTACCTTGCGTTGCTCTGTCCCCGGTCCCGAGCTGCAGGGTTGGGGTGATGGGTTCGTTCTGGGGAACTGGCACTTCCCTTTCCCGAGTGGAAAGTTTCTTGGAGGTCAGAGAATGGACCGCTGCTGGGGACCCCGAAATGGCCAGGCCGGCCTCACTCGTGTGGACCCACGCCCCCCCCCCCCCCCCGGCAGAGCCTGACTGCAGAAGGGGGGGCCGGGTCCAGTGTCACAGGCTTTCTTCCCCCCCCCCACCCCCCCCCCCCCCCGCAGATGTGGTCAGAGACCCCTTGAAGGAGCGAGTCCCCAGTCCTAAACTCGCCCTGCTCAGTGGTGATGACCCCAGGCCCCTGGCTCACCTTGTGGGCAGGTGAGCCCAGAACTAAAGGCCTGACTCAGCCGCATTTCCCATCACTCCAGAGGTGTGTTTGAGGGGAGCCCGGAGTTAATTAGAAGGCTTAGAAAGCCCACGCGCCTCGGAGGAGAATTTATGAAGGGGCCGTTTTCCACGTGGATCCTGAGTCCCTTAATGCCAGAGAGTGTGGCCTAATCCCACACAGCGTTTCACCGCCTCTGAGGGCTCTGATTCACACCCCGGGTTGCAGGGGGGAGGGCGGGCGCCCCGCAGTGACTTCCCCCTTGTGGGTTCCCCTGAGCCTTCAGGACGCCTTGGCCTAAGGAGACGCGGAGGTAGAGGTGTATGGGGCCCAAGCTGCTGGGTCCAGGTGCCCCTTGGGCCGGTGGGCCCTGCGGCGGAGGGGATGTATGTCACACCTGTCGTTTGGGTATTGTGTTTGGAGCCAGCAGGTGTCTGTTCCTAGAACGTTCCAGGTGGAGGACAGAGGCCCCGCCGAGGTTGGCAGGTTGTGTTTTGCTCGCTTTAAAGGGCTTCTGACGGCGCATTTCCCTTTGAAGAGGGCAGCTGCTACGTGCCCACCGGCCCAGCTGTGCGACTGCGTAACTGCTTTGCCTCTGAGGGCGCCCCCTCCCTTGCCTTCCTTCTGCCAGTGAATTCCTTCCTTCAAGTGTAATCTTTTCCCCTGTCCATCAAGCTCCTAATGGTTTCAGGCATGGTTCTTCCCAGGCTGGCTGGGCCTTCCCGCCTGCGCCGGGGAGCGCAGGTGATGTGAGAGCCGTGGTGCCGATTCCGCACCTGCTCAGCTGGGGGTGGGGGTGGGGTACCGCCCCTGCCCCCGATGTTGCCAGGGTCCTGGGGGAGGGCATGCTGATAAAACGTCCCGAAGCAGCAACCCCGGCTGCCTCACTCAGCAAGCTGCCAGCCAAGCCTGACGAGCTCCTTCCCGCCGCTGCGTTGCAGATCTCCGACTTCGGGCTAGCCAAGTGCAACGGGCTGTCCCACTCGCAGGACCTCAGCATGGACGGCCTTTTCGGCACCATCGCCTACCTTCCTCCTGAGCGTATCCGGGAGAAGAGCCGGCTCTTCGACACCAAGCACGACGTGTACAGGTGTGTGTCAGGCGCGCAGCCCCAGGCCGCCAGGGGCTCCGCACCTGGATTCCTCGTGCTCTGCAGGGGGGCTTGGCCAGGGGCTCCTCCGTGCCGCCAGATAAGAGGTTCAGTCCAAAGGAAAGGGCTTTTAGGTGGAGGGTGCCACCAGATAAGAGATTCAGTCCAAAGGAAAAGGGCTTTTAGGTGGAGGGTACGGGCTACCCCAGGACTGGCTTACAAGAGGGAGTGCTCTGCTGTGAGCGCTGCTGGCCCAGGATGGAGAACGTTAGTGGTTGGTGTCAGTTAGAGCCGGTTATGCAACCGGACGGGCAGCTCCCACACCGTGAAAGCTTTGGTGTTTGTAGGATGTAGGGAACATGGGCTCTATAGCTTGTCTGCTGAGAGAAGCTGCTACTTCAAGTGGTCTCTGTGTCTGTCTGCGTGTGGATTCAGGCTCCAGAATCCAGTCCCCTGTGGCCCGGAGCTCACACTTCCTAACGTCACTTACGCGTGACAGGAGCACAGACACCCTAGAGGCTGTTCACAAACTGGCACCGGGGATTTCTGTGCTGGAGAGCAGTCGTGAATCATTTGGCGCCTTCCTTTCCCATATGGTAAAGGTCTTAATCACTCAGACTTCTCGGAGAAGGAAAGCAGGAGGGCGGGTGCCAGCAGGCACGTAAACCCCTCATTGTGGTTCTTGTCTCACACGCGGTGACTGTCACCCTGAGCCCCGCCTTTGGGTCACGGCCACCGCCTGGAGTCCTGGCCGACTGGTTTGACCGTAGCCGCCCGTGCACGTGCTTTGCTGGGCTTTGAGCAGGACGTCTGTCGGGGAGTGGTGCACGGGGCGCTGGGCACCTGCCTGTAGGGTTTGGGGAGAATAAGATTCTCTGTTTATTTCGGAGTTGAGAGTTTCAACTTTTGAACTTGTAGATTTCAATTACTTTTCAATGGGGACTTCTTGCCTTTCGTAAACAGCTGCCCTTAACCCGGTGCAGGCTGGTAGCTCAGTGCTTGGACTTCTGATTCTGTTTTTATTTTTTCAATTTTACCAGATTGAGCTCTTTCGGGGTATATCCAGAGTAATCATATATATATAATTAATATATAAATGATATAAAGGTAACACACATACACACACACACACACACACACACACACACACACATATATATATATATTACACACAAGTATATATAATTTCTAACAACCAAAAAGGGCTCTGGGAGGTTCAGCCGGAGCCCCCTCATCTTTTCCACGCCCTCACATGACGTCAGTGGGCTCGAGACACCCAGAGCTGTAGTCGGTATTTTGAGGCCCAGTGTTTGCAGGAAGATGGTGTGAAAGAAGCAGACTCCGCCGTTCTCCCCTCGAGCTGACGGTCCAGGGACAGGGTGGCGGTCCCTTCGGGAACCCCTCCTGCTGTTGGGACTGACAGTTCAGTTGATGAGGTTTTGTCTGTTGTCTGACATTTGAGCTTTCCACATGCCTTGTTCCACAGTAGGAGTATTTGCCCACTTAAAAAACTGCCCACTTAAAAAACTGCCCACTTAAAAAACTGCAAGATACCTTGGTGTCCCCTCTCTGTCTCAGAGTCTCTCGAAGGCTCTGGGGTGGACTTCCTCAAGCTCGTTGCTGTGTTTGGGGCCTCTGGCTTTACTTGAGGCTCCGGCACGCAGACACTGACATGCCTCTTCCCTTCCAGCTTTGCCATCGTGATCTGGGGCGTGCTCACGCAGAAGAAGCCGTTTGCAGGTGAGTGGACATGTCTAGGGGTGATGCAGCTGCCTCTCCCTGAGCAGTGGAGGGCGTGCTCTGTGGTCCTTTCTCTGTGTCAGAAGTGCCTGCGGATCACAGTCGGGGCCGCGCTGGGCCGTGGTGCTGGCGGGCCGTCTGGTGGGGAGCAGGGCTGCCTTGTCCTGCCCAGCAGGTCCGCACAGAGACCCACGGCCCACCTCATCACAGGCTTTCATATATGCCGACAAGGCGCTCTGCCGTGCAGCTCACATACGGGGAAAGGCACGGATCTGATGGGGTCTGTTCAGTGACTCTTGTTAGGTACTAGCTCATTCTTTTGTGTGTGTGATATAATACACGTAACATAAAATTTATCATTTTAACCATTTAAACTGTACATTGTGGCATTAAGTGCATTCACAGTGCTGTACAGTCGTCACCACCGTCTGGTTCTAGAACATTCCATCACCCCCAAAGGAAACCCCAGGCTGCTTAGGCAGTCACTCCCTTCCCTGCACCCCAGCCCCTGTTGACCACTAATCTACTTTCTGTCTCTGTAGGTTTGTCCGTTGTAGTGATTTCCAGATACATATTTTTTTAATTTTCTAATTTTTGATCGTAAAACACACATCACTTAAAAATGACCATCTGAACCGTTTTGAAGTGTACAGTTTGGTCATGTGAAGTGTATTCCCATTGTGGGGCAACCAGCCTCCAGAATCGTTGGGTGGATGCTCCCCGGGTCAGCACACCCAGCCCGAGGGCAGTGGGTTTCCTCCCCCTTGCCAGGCACCCACCGTGCTGATTTCTGGCCCCGAGGTTTCGGTACCTTGACTCGGTTTATTGGAAAAGTCAAGTACCTGGGCTACGCACTCTTTTCTGGTCTGACCAAAAAGATCTAAGAACGCAGATCGGAGTCAGCACGTGGCCCCCAGGTCTTTTGCAGGGTTTTGTCTGTACGTCGTTACCCTGTCTCCCTGCCATCTGCTCCTCGGTGGAGGTCCGTGGTCTGGATTCTTTTCAGCGTGGCCAGGTGGCACTGTCGCTCGGGCCGCCGGGGGCCTGCGCTTTGGGGTAGAAATTCAGGAGGACTTTTTCGTCACTGCAGGGCAGTTTGGACCACTTGGGGCTGGGCGATGTGACTCCGTGACTTACCAGCGTTCTTCCCTTTGGTGGGCGTGGGCCCCTTTGGAACCGATCTCGTTCCATATTCTTCTCCTTTGAACTTGGTTTTCCTTTGAGTTCGATGCCCAGAAAGACCTGCTCTGTGATACAAGGCAGTGATTCCATTTGGTAGATCACAGATAGTTTCTAAAACCTGGAAAACACAGGACAGATGTGCCCTGCAAGGTTGAGGATTACAGAACGCTCTGTGCTTTGAAGAGGAAATACCGTGTCTCCTGGGCAGGTGGTGGTGACCTGCCCCAAACTTTCCTACGGTTGTCACTCCTCCCGAAGATAAGAAATCCTGCCTCAGCCCCACGGAGCTGCCCTGACTTGTGCACCTGCCCTTTGCAGATGAGAAGAACATCCTGCACATCATGGTGAAAGTGGTGAAGGGCCACCGCCCCGAGCTGCCGCCTGTCTGCAGACCCAGGCCTCGCACCTGCGAGAGTCTCCTGCGCCTCATGCAGAGGTGCTGGCACGGGGACCCCCGGGAGCGGCCCAGCTTCCAAGGTGAGTGCCCCCAGAGGGTGCCCGGAGTATTGCTGCTTGAGGGTCGTGCCGCTGTCCCAGGTGACGGAGTAGACGGCCGGGACAGGGGAGGCTGTCCAGAGACAGGAGCGCCAGGGCGAGCCCGGCACCAGCAGGCTGTGCCCGCCTGTGGCCCCTGCCTGTGACTGGGGCGAGGAGGCTGGAGCCACGTGGTCAGCTCCAGCTGTGCACCCCTGGCTGTGGCCCGCTGCCCTCAGCGGCCTCCTCTTGGCGTTGCAGGTTCAGATGCAGCAATGCATCTTTTAGGGACGATGCGACCGCTGGCCTGCGGCTTTCTTTGCATTTCTCATGGCGCCTTGTCCCTGGGGAACGGCTGTGTCCTTTGGTTAGGAGAGTGATCCTGACGCACTTGAAATTGATCACGACGTTTAAAACGTATGGGGAAACCAGCGTGAATGCGGTGGGAGCCTCTCGCCAGGAGCTGGCAGCCGGGCCGTCGGGGTACGCGCTCCGGCGGGTCTGGCTTCTTGGGGAAACGGGGCCTCAGTGGCTCCTGCTTGGAGTCTGGCCAGACCCTGCCTGTGGTTGCCGATGGGGACCCCTGCGGGGTTGCCGAGAGCTTGGCCGGGGGCCAGCAGCCTGGGAGGCCGCAATGCTGACCGGTCAAGAGGCTGGACCCTGCAGGTGCTGCCTCTTCTGTCCCGGCCCGAGGTCACACGTTTAAGTAGAGCATTTGTGTGAGTCAGTGTCGAGGCGATATACCCTTTTGTGTTTTGTCCCCCAAAGAAATCACTTCTGAAACCGAGGACCTGTGTGAAAAACCTGATGATGAGGTGAAAGAGACGACTCCAGACGTAGATGTGAGAAACCCACCTGAGGCCGAGGCCGAGGTAATGGGGACCCTCCCGGGGGCCTGGTTGCCCCTAACTTGGCTTCGGGGGTTGAGTCTCTCTTTTCTGCAAATGCCCTGCCAGCCTGGACCACTCGCCCCCTGTTCTGAGGCTTGGGCCGTCCCCCTGCCCCTGCCCCTGGCTGCTCGGCCTCAAGCTTGCTGCCTTGGTGAGCTGGCCTCGGAAGCCTGCAGGCCAGATTGGGGAGGGGGTCTGGGCTCTGGGGGTCTAGGGGTCTTTTTGCACCTCGAGGCTGGGGATCTGTCCACTTTCTAACTGCCTATAAACGTTTTGTTTTATGAGTGCCACACAGGTTAGGTAAGATGTGATAAATTCTAACTATGCTAACTAAATAAATACCTTTCAGGTAATAAGGCTTGTAAAGTGGAGCCTGCTAAACTAACTTTATTGGGTGATATCTGGTGTTATCATCCCAGGCTGTGCTGTAAGGCCGGGAGATAAGTAAGCATTTATGGTGTGTCTGCTGTCTGAGCAGGAAGGGGCGTGTGATGAGGTCAGAGGGCAGAGGGGCAGGGAAGGTGACCCGGTCCCCACCACCCCCATAAGGGGAAGAAAGGCCCAGCGCGTGGGTGTGACTCGGTGCACCAGGCCACCGGTTCCCGAGGAGAGGGAAGATTTGGGGACAGGTGGGCGGGAACCGGGAAGAATCACGAGTCACCTGCAGATTCTAACCCCTCGGCACAACCTGCGTTTCTCGCGGCCGGGCAGGAGGGGGCCCTCGGAAGGGCCCGTTAGGATGGGTTGGGGTGGAGTGCTGTGCTGTCCCTGTAGCTCGGCCCCTGCCCCCCACCCTTGTACACATGCGGCCCCCCAGCTAGACTCACACAGCTCCGGGGAGGGTGGCAGGTTGTTAGGACCCCAGCCCATCTCCTTCCTCCGTTTCGTATCAGCGCTGACCCGTCCTGGGTGGACACGGCCAGCACACAGGCTTCACCTCCTGCAGCTTATTCACATCTTGTCCGGATAACTCAGGGCCACGTCACTGCGCAGATGGGGCCCAGCATGGTGACGGGCATTCCGTCCCCGTCGTCGTCTTTTCTTACCATGTCCTCCCACCGGGTGGACCCAGCACAGGGTCTCTGGGCCCCCTAGAGCCATGATAACGGGAGTTAAACTCCCTGCATGGCTCACAGGGAACCCACGTGTTCCCCACCTCCTCCGCCCGCCCCGTCAGGTCACGGATGGAGCCTCATCCCCTCCGTGTGCTCTCTCTGCAGGCGCCCGTGGCCACCCCGCTCAAGCGAGCCTCTGCCCCGACCTTTGACAACGACTACAGCCTCTCCGAGCTGCTGTCCCAGCTAGACTCGGGCATCTCCCAGACCCTCGAGGGCCCGGAAGAGCTCGGCCGCAGCTCCTCCGCATGCAAACTTCCGTCGGCGAGCAGCGGCAAGAGGCTGTCAGGGGTGTCCTCGGTGGATTCTGCCTTCTCCTCCAGAGGGTCGCTGTCCTTGTCCTTCGAGCGGGAGTCTTCAGCGGGCGGTGAGTGGAGGGCCCATCCCTGGGAAATAATGCGCTTAACTGGGGGCCCAGGGGGCCGGACAGAGAGTGAGCGACTGAACGGGATCAGGCGTCCGGTTTCCTGACCTCACGGTAGCTCTCCTGTGTTTTCTGCAGCCCTTCACTGATTGGGTTTGGGCGTCAGTGCAAATGCAGAGATGCACGTGGGCCGAGCAGGTGTCACTTAGATGTAAGAGGGCTGAGTCACACCCCTGGCTGTGCGGGTGGGCCTCACCCGTGCCAGCCCAGCACACAGGGGCTGACCTCCGGTTTGCAGGTTGAAGAACTCGAGTTGCATCAGGGAGCCCAGTGGATGTATGGAACCCCTCTCCCTGGAGACCCCTCTCTCTTGTAATGTCAGCCGTGTACCCCCTTTCCCAGACGGTGAGGGGAAAACACCCCCATTCCTTCTTATTCGTGCACTCCCATTTACCATAGCCGTGCAATTTGATGGGCAAACTGTCCTTCGAGGTTGTGACTCCCTTGTCCTGTTTATATACCTTGGGTTTTCTGTCTAGAAGGTGCTTTCCCCTGCCCCTGCCCTGTCCCAGGTGCTGGCCCTTGGGTGGGAGCCTGGTGCTAACTACAGCCCCCTCGTTGCTGCCTGTGGGGATGGCGTACGAGGTTTCCTTTCCGTGAGGAAAATATGCCTGCTCACACTTAGGGCTACAGTGCAGGGGTGGCCAGAGGGGCGCGGGAAGGGTACAGACCCCAGGAGGAAGGGGAACTTGTTTTTCCTGGGGAATCGGGGAGTTCCTCCTGGAATGAGGACTTTTCCTAGATGCCGTGGACCTCCTGGAATTTTTAGAGTGGAATATTTGGGATGAAAGGGGGCACTTAGGATTGAGGAAACTCCTTACAGAGGTGCAGAGGTGGGGAAGGCCTGGCTGGCCTGGAGGTTAGCAGCCGGTGATGAGGCTGAAAAGAAAGAAGCACCCGTCTCCCACGGAGAAAGATGTAGAAGTTTCTCTCGGGGCCTGCTACCCTCAAGTGACATCTTCATGCTTGGAGAGGACCAATCACTGGCCCATCTCAGAAGCCAGCGTTAAAACACTAGGTCCCCATTGGGCTGATTCCATTTTCTTAATACACCCCATGCCCCCTCCTCCTGCGCAGGGCCCCTTGAAAATGTTTCACGTGAGGGCGTCTCGTTTCATTTAAATCGGAACCCAACAATGTAATAGGATTTTTATGTTAAATTTAACCTTTACATCGTGAATAACAGTCCTTCTAAAGTGGGAGACTCAGTCCTTTAAGGAGTATTCTAGAAAGCGTCCTTCATGATATTGCTGAGACAAGAGGGATCATTTGGAGGTTGGGCTGGGAGAAGGTGGTGGGCCCTGGAGGGGTGGCCTGGGCTAGGAGCTGCCAGCTCTCCGGTGGGTTGGGGGCTGCTGCCTGGTCTGTGTTGCCATTTCTGAGTACCAGCTGGGGCCTGCGTTGTACGTCCCTTATCTAATCACGACCCTACAGGATGGGTAGAATGATTTTTACTTTGTACATCGACAGAAGAGCACTTTGGAGACATTCGTTGCCCTGCCCGAGGTCTCCCCACTCGATCTTAAATTAAACCAGCGTGGACAGCACAGCACTTAAGCGATTTCAGATAAAAAGCGGCCTGGAGGCCACGGGGAGTTGGGGGGCCATGTAGAAAACACTGGCCAGGCCCGGGGAGGCAGCCCCACGTGACCCCTGCACCTGCTCTCCCCGCAGATCTCGGTGCCACCGACATCCAGAAGAAGAAGCTCGTGGATGCCATCGTGAACGGGGACACCAGCAGGTTGATGAAGATCCTGCAGCCCCAGGACGTCGACCTGGTCCTGGACGGTGGCGCCAGCCTGCTGCACCTGGCCGTGCAGGCTGGGCAGGAAGACTGCGTCAAGTGGCTGCTACTTAACAACGCCAACCCCAATCTCACCAACAGGAAGGGCTCCACCCCGCTCCACGTGGCCGTGGAGAAGCGGGTGCGGGGCGTCGTGGAGCTCCTGCTGGCCCGGAAGGTCAGCGTCAATGCCGCGGACGAGGACCAGTGGACGGCCCTGCACTTCGCGGCCCAGAACGGGGACGAGGGCAGCACGCGGCTGCTGCTGGAGAAGAACGCCTCCGTGCACGCGGCAGACTGCGAGGGCCGGACGCCCATGCACGTGGCCTGCCAGCACGGCCGGGAGAGCGTCGTGCGCGCCCTGCTGCGCCGTGGCGTGGGCGCGGGCCTGCCGGGCAGGGACGCCTGGGTGCCGTTGCACTACGCCGCCTGGCAGGGCCACCTGCCCGTCGTCAAGCTGCTGGCCAAGCAGCCGGGGGTGAGTGTGGACGCCCGGACGCTGGACGGGAGGACGCCCCTGCACCTGGCCGCCCAGCGCGGGCACTACCGCGTGGCCCGCGTCCTCATCGACCTGCACTCCGACGTCAACGTCTGCGGCCTGCTGGCGCAGACGCCCCTGCACGTGGCCGCGGAGACGGGGCACACGAGCACCGCCAGGTTGCTTCTGCACCGGGGCGCCCGCAGGGAGGCCGTGACGGCTGAGGGCTGCACCGCGCTGCACCTGGCCGCCCGTGGTGGGCACCTGGCGACCGTCAGGCTGCTGGTGGAGGAGCGGGCCGACGTGCTGGCCCGGGGGCCCCGCCGCCAGACGGCGCTGCACCTGGCCGCCGCCGGCGGGCACTCGGAGGTGGTGGCGGAGCTAGTCAGCGCCGACGTGCGTGACCTGTCTGACGAGCAGGGGCTCAGCGCGCTGCACCTGGCCGCCCGGGGCCGGCACGCCAAGACGGTGGAGACGCTGCTCAGACACGGGGCCCACGTCAACCTGCAGAGCCTCAAGTTCCAGGGCGGCCCCGGCCCCTCCGCCGCGCTCCTCCGGCGAAGCAAGACCTAGCCTGCCGCCCCCGGAGACGGGGCCCCCGCGGGGTTCCTGTCCCCGCGCCGTGCTCCGCTCGCCCCGTCCGCGGCCTGCGGGATGCCTTCGAGAGGCAGGTGGCCGCTGACTCGGGATTCGCGCCGGCGTCTGCTTGGGCGTCGCCTGCGCACCCTCCCGACGAGGTTGATCAGAGCGTGCGTGACCACTGCCCACGGGTGCGCCCGGTGTCGGAGGGACAGTGGGTCGGAGGCATTTGGCTGCACCCCTCGCTCCTGCCGTCGGTCCCTCGGTGACAGGGCCGTGAGCCCCCCCACCCCGTCGTGAGCGGAGCCACCTGCGGCTGGGAAGGCTGGTGTGCAGGAAGAGCTGCGTCTTTTCTCTCCATTTGCAGCGGCAGGCAAAGAAGCCTGTTCCAGAAGGCTTTCGTGGAATTCTTGTTCTCCGGAAGAATATCTTTAACAGATGAACGGTGTCAGCTGTCGCTTTAGATCCGTTAAAAACTTTCATCTCATTGGATAGTCCGCCTTCTGCGCAACGAGTGTGAACTGGTGGTTGGTTTTTAAAGCAAAAACAGTCATCTCACCAGCCCTTTCATACCCAGATTTGTCCGTCACTCAGTCCTCGTGGGTGGCCACACACGTGTGCCATGAGTGCTACCTGCCCTAATTCATTTCTCGTTGCAGAAAATGTTTGAACTTTAGAGTCAAGTGTCTGAAAGTCAAGAAAAACTGACTGACGGCCTCGGTCTCGGACTCAGAACAGCGTTAGCTAGTTGGATGGACCACCTTCCTCACCGTTTTCAGCCGTCAGTCTTGGCAGGGTAGCGGTTTGGGCCGAGTGGTGCTGTTTTAGGGTCTCCAAGGGGGTTTCTGACCTGCTTTACAAACGGCTACTCTTTGCAGGGGCCTCAGCTTTTGGGGTATGACCCCCCCAAGTCAGCTCCAGGAGACAGCCTCACGGTCTTGGATGTAAAAACCCCGTTCTTTTGTTGTCACCTGTGTCCCACATGCACCCGCCCCCCCAATACTACGATTAGAGTCAGCTTGCTGCAGGACCCGACCCTGTATGCAAACATGCCCTTTGGACTGGTGTGTGAAACAGAGATTGATGTTAACGTACCATGTATGTTAATATGGATCTGTGGGCAGGATACTTCTTTTCTGTGACAGGAAATATCCGGACTGCTTAGAACTGGCTATGTTTTAATATGCCTTGTGCTTTTAATGTGTTGTGCTACTGTTGTATGTGGAACACGTGGAAGAAAAAACTTCTGTTTGATGTCAATAAAGCTAAGTTCTCTTCCGACCTTTTTGAAACCGGTGAGACTACATTTTCATATACATGAGCTCGAATAATCTGATTTCTGAAAACCAGATCTGAGGCAGTCAGTCACATGTGGTGTGGAGATGCCCTTTGGAAGGGCAATCTGTGTGCCCTGAATTTACCCATGATCTGGGGCGGGATGGAAGAGGTGGAAGGGTGGACCCGGGCTTCCTGCCTCCTTAGCCTGGGACCTTCCTCCTGCATGTGTGAACTGTTAGGGAAGAAGCTCCCAACACCAGAGTTTTTATTTCTTTGTAAGTTTTTTTTTTTTTTTTTTTGGCCATGCCGTATGGCATGCGGGGTCTTAGTTCCCCGACCAGGGATTGAACCCACGCTTCCTGCGGTGGAAGCACGGAATCCTAACCACTGGACCGCCAGGGAATTCCCCTTAACTTTACATTTTGAAAGAATTTTAAAATATAGAAAAGTTGTAAGAATAGTACATAGAACCCTGCTGTCCCCTTCGTAGATTTTCCATTTGTTTACATTTAATTCTTTTGCCTCGTCATTCCCTTTTCTTTCGGATCTACCCACCCATCCATCCCCCCACCCCCCCATCCATTCATCTCTTCGTCCCCCATGCACTTATCCATCCATCCATTCCCCCCATCCATCTCCCCATCCACCTGTCCATCTGTCCATCCATCCATCTGTCTGAGTAGGTTACAGAAAATATGCCTCATGAACCCTAAGTACTTCAGTGTGTATTTCCTAAAAACAAGGACTGTAGCCACTAGGTAGCCACAGTGTATCTATCAAAATCAAGAAATGAACATTGATACGATGCTATCATCTAATCCACAAATCCTTTTCAAGGGTTTACTGACTGTCCCCAGAGTGTCCTTTATAGGAAAACAAACAGCCAGCCACAGTATCAGGGCTCCATTCCAGCCTGGCCCAGGATCTCGCTGTGTTGCGTTGTTAAGACTCTTCAGGCTTCAGCCCTCGTTTCTCAGTCTCGTCTTTCATGACCTTGCCTTCAGGGAGGTGCAGCCAGTAATTTCGTGGACTGCCCTCAGCGTCGGTTTGTCTTAGTTCTCTTCTGGATTTGACCTAGGCTAAGCATTTTTTTTTTTAACATCTTTATTGGAGTATAATTGCTTTACAACGGTGGCTAAGACTTTTGGCAGAAATACCACAGACGTGACGCCGTGTATGAAGTACAGCTTACCTTTTAATGTTTTGATTTGTATCATGTGCTCACGAATTCCTATTTGAACGCTTATTATCCTTTATTTTGATGTTGGAATTATCCCTGATTTGGCCAGTTCGCACTGGCTCTTGTGTCCCTTTGATGCATCCCCATCAGTCGTTGAGCACTTCCTGCTTTCTGACACAATGAGGTGGTCCAGGCACATGTACTTCCTTCACCCCAGCCTCAGAAGCAGCCATTTCTCCAAGGAAACCAGTTTCCTTCAGTGAAGAATGGTATTTAGAAGCCGAGATCTGGGCGTTAGGTGTGCTCATTGTTCCTGGAGTGCCATTGCCTCTTGTCCCTCAGGAGACAGGTCTGGGCAAAGCGTGTGTGTGTAACTTGCATGTGTATACACATGCATGTCCCCATGTCTTCTTGAGAACGATGATTTCACATCGATGCCTTCAATTACAGCCCGACACCCCAGGGTGTATTCCAGCTTCTCCGTACTTGTGTCTGCTTCCTGTGACAGTGAGGAGGTTGGTCCCCATCGTCCTCAGTATATTGTGCCCATTCGCCCCGTCCCCATGTGTGTAACAAATCTCCCTGCTGTGCTGGCTGCCCCCTCAGCCTCTGTCCCTTCTCGCCGCCTGAGCCAGCAGGTCCCTCCCTGCCTGTGCCCAGCAGTGCACCAGCTGAGAGCTCCCTGGTCCGTGGAACGAGGATTCTTTTAAAAATCCCTTTGCGCCAGGAGTCAAGACGCAGGAACTTTCACTTACTAAGCCTCTGCCGTTTGGCTTAAGTTTCCTTTTCTTCCAGTGTGTACCTTCTTCACTTCCCTTCCTGTCCTGAGATAGTTTAACAACATTACATTTTTCCTTCTTTGCTTCCCATAGAAGTCGGGCCTTTCCGCCATTTTTCTCTGATCCCTATTCCATGCTTTTTCATTTAGGAGCATCTTCTGGTTTGAGGACGGCATGAATTTTTCTTAGATTTTCTGCTTTAGAAAAAAAAAAGCCTCTTTTTTCTTGGGAGGAAACAAGAGTGAGTTTTTTTTGTTTGTTTGTTTGTTTTTGCGGTACGCGGGCCTCTCAGTGCTGTGGCCTCTCCCGTTGCGGAGCACAGGCTCCGGACGCGCAGGCTCAGTGGCCATGGCTCACGGGCCCAGCCGCTCCGCGGCATGTGGGATCTTCCCGGACCGGGGCACGAACCCGCGTCCCCCGCATCAGCAGGCGGACTCTCAGCCACTGCGCCACCAGGGAAGCCCCAAGAGCACGTCTTAAACTTCAGATGCTCTGCTGTTGCTCTGGGGCTGAGGGTCCCTTGGGACACCCCCAGATAGTGCCCCCTGGGGCCTGGCCCGGGGCAATATCAGAAAGGCATGCCAGCCTTTTCTTCAGCAGCTCTGAGGAGTGGAGATGGTCGGTTCTGGAAGAGAAGAGGCTCTTAGTTGGAGCAAGTGGATGCCCAGGGAAGCGCCCTCCAGCACTGACATCCAGGTCCACAGATGACCCGGCTCACTGCAGAGTCCTTCCCGCAGCCTGGGAATGAGGTCAGAACCAGGGGCGACACTGCATCGAACATTCCCTTGTCACCACCCAGGACCACCCGCACGGGAACCACCCAGCACATAGTAGCAGAGGTCTCAACCCCAGCCTCGGGGATGTAGTCCCCTGGGCTCAGGTGCCGCTTGACTTTATTGCCACCATGTCACTGTTAGAGACACACCTGCAGCCACACTCCAGAGCAGAGAGGTCGGACACCTGACTGTGACTGGTGTGTCCCTTCTGTTTCCACGGTTTCAGTACTCCGCGTCCAACAAGCGTTAGGACATTGTGGGCGGGTGCAGATTCCTCCTGAATCCCCGCTGGGCAGAGTGCGGCAGCCATTCAGCTCCTGGTGCGCTCCCAAGACGGCCGCCAGCACACGTGTCTGGGTGCGGAGGGCTCCCTCAGCAGACAACTGGCTTCCCACCTGAGCCCTCCTCTCCGCAGCACTCACTCGCCAAGAGTCACCACCTTCCAGGTCTCTCAACCTGGTTCCAGTTCTCCGGGGCCTTTGTCTGCTGGAGGTATTTCACTGTCCAGCACCTTGGGTGAGGCAGGCAGTGTGATTAAGGCCTCCTGTTGACACGGCAGCAGAGAGAAAGTGGGCATTTGCAGACGCTGGCATTCAGCAGAGTCCTTGCCCCTAAGCTTACTCTTCGGTGGCCGGCTTATGGAAAACTTTGACTCTTGGCCCTGGACAAGTTTTCCTCCCCACTCGGCCTCCCCTCCTCCCGTCCCCTTTTTCCCTTCTCCCCTTCCTCCCACCTTCCATTCCTCCCTCCCTCCTCTCTCCTCCCATCCTTACCTCCCTCTCTTCCTCTTTCTCCTCCTCCTTTCCTTTACAATTATCCTATGAGGTCAGGGGCTCAGGATCTGCCACACAGGACCTGCACGACCTTCTCAGGTGCCGGAGCTCTAAGCATTCTGTTGTGTCCATATGCACCAACATCGTGATCAGGGGACAGTGGCCCTGATGGTGACTGTTGAGTGAGAAGAGGCACCGGGTGGGCAGTATTCCAGGCAGTGGTGCTAGTCATAGCTTTGGGCCCCCTTGGCAAAGAAAAGTATACTGCTTCGTGTGCCAGTGTCAGGAATGGCTGGATCCAGGTGTTCACAAGTGTCACCCTTCCCCGGTGTTGGTTTCATTAAGGGGCAGGCAGACCCCTTGCAAAAAAAAAAAAAAAAGGCCCTGGCCTCTCCAAGCTTAAATAACCTCAGTTCGAGGATCCCAGTAGAAAGAGAACTTCTTTCCCCCAGTATCTGCCCCTTTCCAACCCCCAAATTACACATCATTCATAGAAACTTAGACACTTTTTTTTTCTCCCCACATTTTAACAGCCCTGGGAGAGTAGATGGCATCTTACAATTGAAGTTGGCAGCATTTTTTTCTCTTTTGGAGGTGCTTTAGGTAATGGTACATTTTATCATTCGTGGCATCTCAGAATTGCTGTAATATGGTGGCCTCTGTGCCTGGTAGTGCCATTCCTAAGACCAGTTGTGGTAGCCAGGGGAAGAGAACGTTCTCGTTGGCAGGCTGGGTCAGGCTGGGCAATCTCAGCCCGGAACATGGGGGTGGTAGTTTCCTAAAGGAAAATCAGGACACTTCTGCTGGAAAAGGTGGATTAGAGGCTGGGTAGTGACAGCTACAGGTGTCATCACACAGGGACCCCCACAGAGAGCCCTCAGAAGAGCTGGAACCACCTGGGGACCTGAGCTGCATGTGGAATGGGTGTCTGGGCATCTTCTCAGGAATCGGACAGAGGGGTCCCTGATCCAGGCCCCTCTCAGAACCCCGGGAGAAGGGCAGGGATGTCCCGGAAGGACCACCGTCAGCCGGGCCGTGGAGACAGTACCCAGTGGCTTTCAAGCCACAGTGGGTATGTCAGAGAGCAGATCTTGGGGTCACCCACTAGATGCATCAGAAGTGGGGGAAGAGCCCCTGTTCCCAGGCTCCGTGAGGTCGTCACCACCTCTGGAGGGAACAGGAGTCGTCCCTAGCTCCTGAACTTTGCCTGGAAGGGGAGGTACAGAGCCAGGGCCCCTGCCCTCCCCAAGCCAAGCCGGACCTAAGAGGGTGCCCACCTGATTGAAGGGGACGAAGCCACCGAGTAACGGAAAGGCTTGTAGGAACAATGCCCTTGCTCCGGTGACTGCCCCTGGGGGCTGCGGGAGGGAAGAGCATTCCAGAGCCTCCCAGGTAACCGCTGTGGACCATGGTCATGAAGGGGTTACACAAAGAGTAAGCTGCCTCCCTGACTGTTGGAAAGCGCTAACATGTATAATAAAGATGGTTACACTGC